GCGTATCTCCCGCCCTCTTTCACACACCCAACATAAGATCCTCAGAGAATCAACGCATTTTCATATACCTGGTCAGACAAATAGCTGTCTCTTATTGGTTGCTGTCTGTGTCTTCCATCTCTCTCTCTTTCTCTCCTCTCTCTCTCTCTCTCTCTCTCTCTCTCTCTCTCTCTCTCATGAAACAAACGTATTTGCTCACTTGCAGAAACAAGTTTTCATTCACATGGTCAGACAGCTAGCTGCGACAATCTTTGCCTTACTTCCCCACAGAAACATCAAGGTTACGCTTGTCCCAGACCAATGTTGTCAGGAAGACTGGGAGCCCCGGATTGCGTAACCGCCGATCTCCCCCTTCTTCCCCAGCCTCCTTCCATAATGTAGCAAACATGTTTTTGATTGCCTATTAGCATATTCTACTGCTATAAGGATCTTAAAATTCACTGTTTTTCCACCTATCCCCCTGTTTCTCTCTCTCTCTCTCTCTCTATATATATATATATATATATATATATATATATATATATATATATATATATATATATATATATATATATATATATATATATATATATATATATCTATATATATATATCTTTATATCTTGACCACGTAAACCTTTTGCGCGAATGCATTCCAAAGGGGGCACATACCACACAGGGAGAAGTAAAGGTTCAGTTTCCGCTATGAGGCGTAGTGGACATATGTTACTTGCTCCATATTTGTATAGAAGTTATCACCAATAAACATAACTGCCTGTACTTCCCTGGACATTTTCTGATAGTCATTTTAGGCCTGCATTGACCTGGAAGCCCGAGCCATTTTCAAAAAAAAAAAAAAAAAACTGTGGAGTGGGAATTGAACTACGCGGCCTTAAGACAAATACCATCTCATCTATTCACATGCATGGGCATATCCTAGCAGTGCCATGTGTAGCGCTTGCGGCGAAGACGAATACGGCAAATGACATGACTCTTTATCCCTGTCTAGGCTGATGGACATGGGCCTACCAATACCGTCTCCATCTGACAGGCCATGCTGCTGACCTCACCAAACAGGGCTATCAATACGTATCGTTAGCCTAGTATGTGACGTCAGTAGCATGGCCTGTCAGATGGAGATAGTCTTGGGCGTACCCCCCAAAGCTGCAAGAAATGAACATTTCACCGAAGGGACCAGACTTTTCTCAGCACAGAACAGGTCGTTTTACATCTGAGGAGGAGGAGGAGACTGGCACCTGTGGATCTGTCCGGAGTGTTGAGATGATAGTCCTCACTAATCACTGATAGGCATTTAACTAAGAGGCATATCTGAATATATTGGCGCTATCTCTCCTTTGTTGGCCTCTGTGACTTACGCATGGTGAACGTGCTACTTAATGCCAAGGTGCCGGGTTCGATCCCAGCAGCGGATCATTTGTCTTGCGTTGGTTTTGACATGGTACCGCGAGCTGACCGTTTAGTGCAAAGGCAAACTACTGACCGTAAAATTTGCCTAGAAACACCACAACAGTAACAAGAAACCCTAAAAAAAAAAATATTTGGGGTTGGTTCTGCAGCGTCATGTGAAGGATGCGCAATTAACTTTTTATTTTAACCTTTCTTTTGCAATTAATAAAGTAGACGTAGAGAGGTTATCGTGCTGCATGGAAAACACAATCGTCTCTTCCATACCCCCCCCCCCCCAGGCTTTGTGTTCTGAAGAGGACGATATTCATCCCTGGTCTGAATTGTCAGGTCTGAATTGTCCTCTACATTGGCTACGATTCTAATGTCTCCCTGTAACACAGTGGAACTCTATAAACTCAGATGGATAGATGCCAACAAAACATATCTTATTTCAACGACTTTCTCCTCGTGGGCTTCAGGGGTCCCATTTGTAAAAAAAAAAATAGAGTAAAGGTCCCTTTTCCACGCCTTTAGGCGTATAGGGCATACAGTCCTAGACCTATATTTTCATAGACCAATCGGCACAAAATGGTTGAGGTGGTCACCATCACGCCGACCGCCTTTATTTTCCGCAACTGCACCTGGTACCCACTCAAGGTGAGTTTAACCTGGGAGTCAAGGTCATTTTTTTAAAAGTCCGGTTCCACCAGGGAGCGAACCTACGACCTTCCGATCCGCAAGCGAGCGTCTAGCCGCTATGCCATGGCGACTCCCGCCCCATTTGGCAAAAAAAAAAAGAACTCCCTCTTTCGCAGAAAGCATATCACAAGAGTCAACTAATTACTAATTAGGGATGTTTCTTTCGACTCCACTGTGCATCAGCCTGAAAGGTGAGGAACCCACGGCCCGTACGTAAATAGTTCAGATCTATAAAAAGGATGTGCCAAGTTATGGAACAAGGCCGAAGTCCAGAAGGGATGAAAAGCGCCAACTTTTACCTGGAGTTCATGTCCGATGAAAACTAAGAAGAAGAAGAAGAAGAAGAAGTGACTAACCAGGTTTCATATCCTAATTATCTGCGCATGGAAATACAGAATAAACCATACTAGTGAGCCGCTAAAACCATATTTGGCTGGACTGGGTCAAACAGCTTTCTGAATGATTTATACCGATACCTTTGTAATTGGATATCTGCTAAAACGTAAGGGAGAGCACCCACAGAAGTTTTACTAGAAAAGTGCAGGTAAAGACTTAGATTGAAAATATAGAAAAATCAATGGCAAATGTTATGGAAAAGAATTAAACTGCGGTGACGTTGTAAAAAAACTAGAGGGGATTGGCATAACGGCTCAAAATATTGGCTTTAAGAGCATATTTTTTGCAGGAAAGAGTGGGGGGGGGGGGGGGGGGGGGGGGGGGGGGGGGGGGGGGGGGGGGGGGGGGGGGGGGGGGGGGGGGGGGGGGGGGGGGGGTTAATCCACTTCCCCCTAACAAAAATGTCGTAAGAGGCAACTGATTAAGGCTTTGCTGAAATAGGATGATTTAGGTTAAAAGGCGTATATGTGGCATCTTAGCTGTAAACCACAATTCAACACGCCAGCCACCCTTTTGAGATTGAATGCAGAGAAAGAGAGTCAGTTTTGCAAGTCTGACATTAAGATATTATAATAAGTTCTTCAGTATGGCTATCAAAATATATGGTGGCCAGGACAGACATTTGAAAATAAGAAGGGAATGCAGGATTTAGCCAACCTGTGCTATAGGTGTTAGAAGCAAAATGGTATTGACTTATATATATCCTGTGCCTATACATCTAATTTTGGTGTATGTGCTTGTGAATGCGCACCCTGAACTCACTCCAGACCAGACTAATTTAAAACCCCATGTGGTTTGTTTCTACAGCATATTTTATCAGGTTTATGTTCACTATATGCAGGCTAGGAAAATCTCTATCTTCAGGCAGTAATAAAATGAGGAATTTGTTTGGGGGGTGGTTACCTTGTTTGCATCGAACTTTCTTTTATTCGTAGGTGTTGCTTGATTGAACTAATTAGCAGCCTCATGTCTGCTTAATTGCTGCTGATAGTTACCTGCAGTCTCAGGTATATCCAAGCAATTCCGTTGAATGTTGCAATAAATTGTACTGACTATACACTCGAAGCAGCCTGGCATTTTGAGGAAAATGGTTTTTATAGACATATTTTTTTTTTTGTAAATAGACAATACATTGGCTAACACTTTTTGTATTCTTCTTCTTCATGTTCACCGGCTCTAATTTTACAGATCTGGCTTATCTGTATGCAGACTGTTGGTTCCTTGTTGATCAGACAGATGCATTCCGACTTCAGAGAAGGGCTTTTCTTCCCCCCCCCCCCCCCCCCCCAATTAGTTGAGTCTTATGACATGCTTGTTGGGGAGGCACTGGGTCTGTACTTATCTCCAAAGTGGGGCTCGGCATACTTTCTGTATTATGTTGTGTTATTCTGCATTCAATATGTTGATGAATATGTTATTAATTTCATCATACAATTATAGCACATTGAGCACTATAAAGAAGAAACAACATGCTGCTTTTTGTTATGCATTCTTCTTTAGAGGGAAATGAATTAAATTGATGCATCGCTCTTTCATCATCATGTGCCACAGTGCTGATCGAGATAGTCATGGTATGCTATGTGGCACCTGTTAGGCTTCAACTCCTTAAGAGCATTTATAATGTTGCCTGGAGTCATTTGTTGAAATATCAAAATATTCTGTCCATAAGTGTTAGGATCCCCTCCTAATAAATCTTGCAGCTTGTAGCGGCTCATAAACCCAGGTCTGTGTTAGTTTTTTTGTTTTTGCTTCCTTTATAGTTCTCTTGTCCAGCCACACCCTTTTTAACATTTTGTTTTTGCAGCCTGGTTGTGGTTGCAGATTCACAGTCATCACTTGGTTCTCACAAAGGTCTTACTTTGGCAGAGCATTTAGAATATCTGCCTGCTCCATGTTTCGTCAGCCTTCCACAGTAGCTAAACCTGCAAGCCTATCAGATTGCTAATTTCATTACATGCCTGCTTTAGAGACTCCAGCCACTGTCTTCGGACCCAGCCCATCTCTGTCTTCCTGTATATACTAGTTGATTTACTGAGAAAGCATGCATGGGAAAAGGATGTGATTTTACAGAAGAATGCTTTCAATTTCTTTTGACAGCTGTAATGAGCGATCAAGATATTTTGAAAAAGGCAAAGTCATGAAGACAGGTTATCACAAACATCAGGAGACAGTCCTCAATTGTTAGCAATTTTATGATAAGAAAGAAACTGGAACATGTTGTGACAGCTGGAGAGATTTATGGCAACAAGGATAGAAGAAGACAATGAGAGAAGATTCTTGACAGCTTATTTGTCAAGGCATGGAATGTGGACATACAAATTGATACATGTCGCGAGTTGTCGAGAGGCATGATTGCCCACACTGGTCGGCAAAGCACGTGAAAGTGGTCAACACTAACTATTTTCCCCAAGGTTTTTTTTTTATATAAAACCATTGTTGGTTAAATCTGGCTTTTACAGTTTGTACATGATAATTTGATGTGGGTTTTAATTACTGTAAATTGTATTCTGTACTCTCTAGGCTTTTTTCCCTAACATGAAGGAAATAGTGTCTGTAGGCACCCAGCATGACATGATGGTTAATGTGTGGAACTGGAAAACTGGTAATAAAGTGGCTTCAAACAAAGTTTCTGCTAAGGTAATAACTCTGTGTATGTGTTTATGGGTAAATGCTTGAGAAAAGAGGATTTGTGTGAGTTTAATATTTATCCTTTGTTTACATATTTAATACACATGTCAGACAGACAGATACCAGCTTTTATTGGTTGTGTTTGTTTCCATCTTCTGTGGGACATTTCTCATCTACTCTTTTTACATTTCCATGCTTTTAACATCAAAATAGTTTATTAATCACATAGACCAGTGATTCCCAAACTGTGTGCCAAGGTGCCCCGGGGAGACGTTACCTCTTCACAGGGGTGCTGCAAAATATTCGAAGATACAAGTTTTTTTTAAAAAAAATCTCTTACATACTTTACTTGGTTAGGGCGCTGCAAAAAAATTGTAATTGAAAAAAGGCGCTGCAACTAAGAAAAGTTTGGGAAACGCTGACATAAACTGTTAAAAATTGTCAGTCAGTTCCACGTCATATTTATCTGCCTGAGTAAAAGCATATATTCCCAAGCATTTATCTTATCTGTACAACTTTTCTTTCCTGTCTGTTGCTCTCTGTCTTGTCTACTGCTCCCTTTCATGTCAGTTTTTTAAAACTGTAATATTTTGTGAGACAGTTGGCTGTTTTGCACATGGTTAAGCAGATTTATGTTTGCTTTTTGTGTATTTTATATTAAGCAACCTAACTGAATTAAAAAAAAAAAATATGGTGTCATTAATTTGTATTTGCAATATGAAGATGTGTCCTTAAAAAGAGAGTAAGTGAACCTTTTTTATGCCAGTTGCGCATCGAGCAGCATTATCATGCTTGACTCTTTTTATATAGACCAATCAGCTTTTTATCATGATGCCGGCCACCTTTACTTTCCAGGATATTATACAGTAGTGATTATAGGCTGGGTCAACCTGGGAAAGAAGGCCAGGGAAAAAAAAAAGAATTCACCTCAGTCTGGATTTGAACCCAAGACTTTTGAGCTGGCAGGGAAGTTCCTGATATGTCCATTAATTCCAGCTGTAATAAATATGTCTGTTTGTTTGTGACATTGAGATATGTTTTTAAGCTTTAGAATATTTGTAAATTCTATATCTTACAGCATAGAGCTAGGTGCCATGGGCAACATATTGCTGGCATCATAAACCATTTCAGTCTGTGGGCTGGTCATGAAGCTTTCTGATATTAAATATATTTATTATATATTTGTCTGTTTTGTGCCTCCCTCTCCCACTTTATTTCATGTGTGTGTACACTAACTGAGCTGCTGTGTTGAGTTGAGTTTTAAGAACCATTATCATAGCTCTCAGGTCATTCCAATAAGCGCTCCGTCCCTATCTTCAGCAGCCAGCAAAGAATTCCAACTCCGACGGTACTAATAACAGTCTGATTGTAAGTGCATCTTGCCTTTCCTCTTAAGTGCTGCTGTTATGTAACAGCTATTAAAATACATTAAAAGACCCCATGACAAAAACATTTAGGTAACCCTGTTACCCACAAGAGTTTATCCTAAGACCAGACGAAACATTAAAAACAGTATTGAAGGGCTCGATAATTGAGATGTAGGATGAAGGAAAACATCTGTGGAACATCCCCGTATGGGTTCCGGGACCCTATTGTGGGAGAAAACAAGAATAGACCGACTGCCTCCCTAACAAAAATGTCGCAAGAGTCGACTAACTGGGTGCTTCCTTCAAAGTCGGAGTGTATCTTCCTGAGAGGCAAGGAACCCTACAGTCTTCATACATTCTTTCTTTCTTTATCTTTTCTTTATTTCTGACTTATGTCAGATGTGTAAAATGGATGTGCATGCAACACTCAGGTTCTGGAACAGGACTAAAGTTTGAGGTGGTTGAATATCTAGAACTTTCCACCAGAGTTTACCGCTGGTGAATGAGAAGAAGAAGAACATCTGTGTAATAGATGTGTACAGATCAGTCAGTGCAGTTAAGTAAAGCAAATCACCCTCACCCCCTTTTTTATATACACCATTGATGCATCAGGCATAGGATGCTAGACTTTGTGGGTGATGTGATCAACGTCTTGCCAGCCACATTTGCTTCCCAGGACATTATCTGGTACCCATTTTAAGCTGGATCAACCTGGGAGCCAGGGTCACTTTTGAAAGAATGAAACTCGCTGCTGAATCAAACCCAAAACTTTTGAGCTGGCAGGCAAGCGTCCTGCCACCATGCTACATTGAATGTTTTTTTCCCTAACCAAGGCTGATCATGCAGCAGGTCCTTGGCAGAATGTCACTCTCATCACATTCTGCCTGAAAGAAACTGGGTCTCCTGTCAGGTCTCCTGCCTTGTGCACTTTCTTAATCAAGGTTACTTATATTCTATGCCTATCTTTGTGCTGATCAATCTCTGCACCTCTTTCCAGGCACCAATGCCTCCTGCTACTTATTCTTTCCAATCCACTCTAATGTTAAAATATTTATGTTTCTGAGACAAGATGCTCATTACTAGCCAATCTTCTTGATGTTAATACCCTTTAGGATGTCAGTATTTCCTTTCTTCTGTATCTTTGGTATTCTGAAAATCTATAGCATTTCAGTTCAAAGGCCTTTTTTCGCCCCTTCCTAAATGATTGTGAGATAGTCAGTGACATCCATATGTGTATCTACACAGAAGGTGCATGCCTTCAAAATTTTCGGATTGTAACCAAGGCTAAACCAAATAATATATTTGTATCATGGACACTTGTATTTATTGTTTCTTAACTTTCATTCTCATCCTTCTTATTCTGACAGGTTAGCGCTTTGGCTTTCTCTGAGGATGGGAAATGTTTCGTCACTGTAGGAAATAGGCATGTTCGTTTCTGGTACATAGAAGATAAAAAGTCAAAGGTAGGCAGTTATTTTGACTTGTATACTTTTTTTTTTTTAAATCTCAGAATGCAGTGTTTTGAATGCTTTTGTAATGACATTTCAACATTTTTATTACTAAAGTATATTTTTTTTTCAAATAATATTGTATATTAGGATGCCAAACAGTTTTTTTAAAATAATGTATTTATTCATGTCAATTTCAATTAATAGTTTATAAGAGCAGTAATTTACCAAACAAACATCAGTTTAAATTTCTAGACATTAATTTATGATACTCACATTAGTTAATAATACAAAAGGTTAGTTTAATATCTGTATTAGTTTGTGATACAAACATTATAAAAATTACATTCATTTGTAATTCAGTCAGAGTTCCAAAATACACAAATTAATTTTTGTCAGATATTCAATTTATGATTCAGTTATTGGTTTATAATGCAGACATTTATTTATAAGACTCATTAATTTACGATACAAACATTAATTTTAAAGACTCACAATAATATATATATATATATATATATATATATATATATATATATATATATATATATATATATATATATATATATATATATATATATATATATATATATATATATATATATATATATAATTTTACTAACTTTTGCAGATTTTAGTTTGAATATACATTCATTAGTTTATTAGACAAACAAGTTTGTGGGATAAGACTGAAATGCTTACTGAGATACTAGGGGGCACTGAAGCTTGTGATTTTTCTGAGTGAAATGATGCAGTAACTGATTACACTGTTCACAGATAAACCAGACAGTACCCCTGAGTGGCCGATCTGGCATCCTGGGAGATCAGAAGGACAACTTCTTCTGTGATGTGGTAGCCGGACAAGGTCACATGTGTGGACGATTTTTTGTCATCACTCAGTCGGGCCTGTTGTGTGAATTCAATGAAAAAAGACAATTAGAGAAGTGGGTGGAGTTAAGGGTGAGTGCTTTTGTTTATATTTATTATGCGTTTGTTTTTAACACTGTTTCTCTTTGGTGTAATATGGCAGTTTCTGCCATGTAACCACTTGGTTAATTGGTAAGTAACCATGTAGCACAGTGGTTCTCAACCTTCCGAATGTTGTGACCCTCCACTACAGTTCCCTCATGCTGTGGCCATCCCCAAACAATATTTGTGTCCATAACTTCAATGAATATGTGTTTTCCAATGGTCTTAGGTGACCCCTATGAAAGGGTCACTCGACCCACACACAAAAAAGGGGGTCATGACCAGCAGATTGAGAACTGCTGGTGTAGCAGATCACCTCAGTCAGTTCTCTGTGGTGTGTTACATAGCCCCATTCCAGAGGGGCCCCACTATCTCCCTAACAAGCATGCCGTGCAAGACACCTGTTTAGGGTAGTTTTTTTTCAGAGTCAGAATGCCTCTGCCGGAGAGGCAAGGAACCAACAGTTTGCATGCAATTAAGCCATATCTGTGAAATTGTATGTTTAGGTAAAACTCAAGTTCTGGAGCAAGATCAAAGTTCATAAATGGATGAATAATCAGAACTTTCTGCCAGCATTTACAGCCTGAGAAGGCTAAGAAGAAGAAGAAGACTTTAGCCACTAAAGTAAACTGTTATGACACAATTGTGAAGTTGAGCAGTGTCCCACAGAGTTTACCAGGAGGGCTGACCTGATCGCAAGAGAGAGCATTAACTAGACTTTCTGATTGCTGGTTTTTGTGCCATGTCAATGTAAAAGTAAAGGACCCTTTCCACTCCTTCATGCACACTGAGCATATAGAGCTAGACCTATATCTTATAGACTAGTGGACACTTGGTGAATGTATTCAGCATCACGCCAGCTGACTTCACTTCACAGGACTCCACCTGGTACCAAAGAAGAACAAGAAGAAGAATGATCAAACAGACAAACTTTATTTTCAAAGGGTCACAGAATGGGCACGCAGGCCCGTCTTACATTTGGCCCTTCAAAACACCCAAGAAGAAAACGTGTACAACCAATGTGCTATTGTAGCAGTTAGATCTGGTATATATACATTTGCTGTAAGAAGCGAAGCATCCATGGGTATGCCAATGAACTCTATTGCTAACTATTTACAGTTATTCAACTACTGTATTTGACCAACATTAATTATATTTTACAGACAAAATCGGCCACTTGTATCACAGCTGGGCAAGAGTACATCTTTGTTGGCTGTGCAGAAGGGGTTGTCAGGGTGTTCAGTTCAACATCTCTTCACTACATTTGTTCATTGCCCAAGCCCCACCACCTGGGAGTGGAAGTGACCGCAGCAACAAGCCCTAGGTAGTGTTACAGTACAACAAGAGATCTCTTGTCTTTTCCTTCCCTTCTCTTTCTCATCTTTCTCAATTCCCTCCTCCTTATTCTTTCTTTCTTTCTTTCTTTCTTTCTTTCTTTCTTTCTTTCTTTCTTTCTTTCTTTCTTTCTTTCTTTCTTTCTTTCTTTCTTTCTTTCTTTCTTTCTTTCTTTCTTTCTTTCTTTCTTTCTTTCTTTCTTTCTTTCTTTTCTTTCTTTCTTTTCTTTCTTCTTTCTTTCTTTTCTTTCTTTCTTTCTTTCTTCTTTCTTTCTTTCTTTTTTCTTTCTTTCTTTCTTTCTTTCTTTCTTTCTTTCTTTCTTTCTTTCCTTCCTTCCTTCTATACCAGTGTCTCTCCCTCTGTCTGTCTCTGTGTCTGTCTGTCTCTCTCTCTCTCTTTCTCTGTGTGTTTCTCTGTGTGTTGTTTCGTGTGTATTTGTATGTTCATCTTTTTGATAATGTGTGTGTGCGTCTGCATGTGTGTGTCTTTGCGAGTATTTGTGCGTCTGTGGGTTTGTTAGTATGTGTTTGTGTATGTCTCTGTGTGTCAGTGTGTGTGTGTGTGTGCCATTATGTGTCTGTAGGTGTGTATGGCTGCATGTGCATCTGTGTCTGTCTGTGGCTGTGCGTGACTTTGTGTGTATCTGTGTGAGTCTCTATCTGTGTGTCTATTATATAATGTCTGCGTGTCTCTGCTTGTGTTGGGTTATGCGTCTGCGTGTATGTCTGTGTGCGTATGTGTGACTGTGTGTGTGTGTGGGTGTTGCGCATGTCTATGTGTGTGTCTGTTTCCCTGCTTTTTTGTGTGTATGTGTTTGTGTGTGCCCGTGACTGCATGTGTGTGTATCTGTATGTGTCTGGGTTGTATGCGTGTGTGTTTCAGAGCGTGTGTATGTGTGTGTATGTATGTATGTATGTATGTATGTATGTATGTATGTATGTATGTATGTATGTATGTATGTATGTATGTATGTATGTATGTATGTATGAATTTGTATGTATGTAAGGGATTTTGTATGTATTTTTGTATGTACGTAGGTATGTATGTATGTGTGTATGTATGTGTGTGCATGTTCGTGTGTATGTGGATGTATGTGTGTACTGGGTGCCTATGTGTTTGTGTGTAAGTGAGTGATTGGGCTTGTGTGTGTATGTGGGTGTGTGTGTTTGCGCGTGAGCGTGCGCACATATTTTACCACCCATGCTTTTGTTTTTTGATTTCATTTCCATAATATGCATATCATTACATGAATATAACATGCTTTATTGATGAAATACAACTGCTGTGTGAAAGATGGAAGTTTGGAAGGGCCGAATGTAAGACAGGCCTGCGTGCCTAATTTGTAACCCTTTGAAAATAAAGTTCGTTCGTTCGTTCTCTCTCTCTCTCTCTCTCTCTCTCTCTCTCTCTTTGTCTCTCTGTCTGTCTCTCTGTCTGTCTGTCTCTCTGTCTGTCTCTCTGTCTGTCTTGTCTCTCTCTGTCTGTCTGTCTGTCTCTCTCTCTCTCTTGTCTGTCTGTCTCTTTGTCTCTGTCGCTGTCTCTCTGTATGTGTGTGTGTGTCCTCTACATACATGTACACACCGCACATTACACCAAACACCGTGACATGACTGTGATTGTTATCATGAGGAGCGGCTGGCCAAACGGTTAGAGCGCTGGGCTGTCAAGTGGGAGGCTTTGTTTTGAATCCTTGGTAAGGCTGGGGATTTTTCATTCGGGGGCAAAAAATCCTCACCTGCACAGTCGTGGCAACAGCACTAGCCATGCGGTCCCAGGTCCTCAGATTCAAAGACCCCTCTGCCTACATCGCAAAAGTGGTATTATAAAGGCAGAAATTGGCAGTTTTTTTTTTTTTTTTTTTTTTTTTTTTTTTTTTTTTTTTGCTGACTGTTGTCATTCATCATTCATTTTTGTGGTGGAGGATTTTATTTTATTCATTTATAAAGATTTGGTCGAAAAATTCAATTGTCTGTTCTTTCCCTGAGCGCCTTAGTCATTTTGTATGCATGCATGTGTGTGTTGTGTTCATTTTGTTTTGTTTTTATTATTAGCTGGGTGGCACTCACACATATCTGTGACACCATTCTGTATCAGTAAAGTCTGACAGTAAATGACAGCAAATTGTCGACAGGTGATGGCCAACTCCACACAGAACTTAAATTTATGTAAGATAATTAACCCTCTGCCTCTGATATGCTTCTGATCTGGCATCAGCATCTTGTTACAGATCCCAGTGAAGCTGCTTAAATGGACTGCTGCATTGGCCAGTCCTCATTAAACCTTGTTAATGGCACTGGTTCTTATTTCTTCTATTTTTTTGTTGCACCTCCACAGTGTTTGAGATGTCTGGATGTGATCATGTTGTCTAAAAATGGTATTTGCTTGGGGGGGGGGGGGGGGGGGGGGGGTAATTTCTTTAGGTACAATGGACCGTTGTAATTTTATTATGCACTCCGTTTATGTTTATTGATACACCTTTATATATGTTTGGAGGGGGTGGGGGAGAATTCCTGGGTTTTGAACTTTTTCTCCAAAAGGTGTCTGGGGCGAGAAGGCTAAAGACAAGTTTCATGCATTGGCCATCTCTTTCAAACAGGAAAACAAATTATGAAACATTCCTGAAAATGATATAGAAAGCAAGAAGCATAAGACATTTGTGACTTTTGTTTATGTATGTCATGAATGCTGTTTATTTTTAATGTCATTCTAAAAATAATGCTTTTTTTGGTTTTACAAATCCATCAGTCACATGGTGAGCAACAGAGATGATGTCAGATACCCAGACACAAAGGCAATAACCATTGATGATGATCACAAGAAAGTGAGTTTTGTGGTTTATTTTATTTATTCATTTTTGTTCCACATGGTGATATGTTTATTTGGTAAGATGAACAGTCTTACACATTTCTTTTTTGGAAATGGTATTTTCAAACCAAAATGTAGAACTTTTGCAGTTAAGTCTTTCAGTAATGGAGACATTTTGCCAAAACTTTGATATGTGTTAGGCATGCTGATTACGTTAGCATTCTTATGATACATAGAATATAAACTTGACCCCACATGCAACATATCGAGGTATTTAACACACAGAAAGATTTTAAAATAACAGATGTTTTCCTATAAACAGGTTAATTTTATATTTGCTCTGTATTTACTAAGTATACACAATGGAGCTGAATGGTCGTAGACTACGAGGCAGACCAAGAAGACGATGGAGAGATAATGTCCAGACAGACCTGCAAACACTTGGTGTCACCAACTGGAAAGAGAATCCCAACTAGAGAGATGTGTGGAGGCGGGTGATATCTGCAGCAATGAACCTCAAAGGCTCGGAACGCTGAATAAGAAAAAAAAATATTCCTTTAAAAAAAAATTCTTTATTTATGGAAATTCCTTTCATTTTTTCCCATTAGATACAACGGTTACCAGGCGCCTGGGTGTGAAGTTTCAACCTATAATTAGTTAACATACCCTGAGAGCTGTAAACTAACTGATTGTTTGCTGCATTTGTTTTTCAGTGATTACTCCCCTTACTCTGTATAGTATTTATTCATGTTTTGGATAATACATTTTTTTTCTCTCAGAATTTTAGAAATTTTGTTTTTCTGAAATTTCTGAAAAATGGAAATGCTGGGGCTGATTTTGTTTTCCCGCTAGATCACCGGGGTGAAGGGGTTAACTGGTGTGAGTGTCTCATAAGATGGTCTCTGTGGCTAAACTGTTTGCCTTCGACTGTGAAGGTCAAGGGTTTGTTTCAAAGACTGCATTGTTCAGTTCCCAAGTGCCATTTTTAAGGACATTCCTGGGAATCCTTGCTAGAACTATGAAGCTCACTTTTTGTTCAAACGGCTAGTCATTCTTTGTAAGAGAGTGAGCTATAATGGAAAAGGAACTCGTATGCAGTAAGGTTGACGATAGCTTCTCGGCCTTTTGGCTAAGATCAGAGTGTAGCTCTGCTACAAGAGGACCTGGATCAGTCACAACCAAGTGTTGAAACCCAGTCAGCACGAGCCGTCTCTAAAAAAAAACCAAAAAAACTCATACCAGACGGTTTTCCCATTCAGTCTGAATTACAGACATAATATCCTCCGGGTTGTGGGCGGCCAGGCTGGGCATTTGGGAGACCGACCTAGTTAAAAAAAAAAAAAGTTGAACTCTCTCAATTAAAAATTTAAGTCTTTAGACTTTTTAGTTTGGGGTATATTTGATGATGAAACTTGTTGATTGTTGATGTGATTGCTTGATAACGGGTTCCTTTCGATTTTGTATGTTAACAGGTGACCTGCATTTACAATGACCAGAGTGTGTATATATGGGATGTTCATGACATAAAGAGGGTAGGGAAAGCCTGGTCTTTTCTCTATCACAGTGGCTGCATCTGGTCTTTGGAGGTGAGTGAGAATGCTGGATATCAAGTGGAGATTTTATGTTTTTGTGAAAGTTTCATGCTTCAGAAAAAGTAAATAGGAATGTTTTCCACTCCTATAGGCGTATTGGGCATATAGGGCTAGATTTGTGTGTATTAAACTAAGAGGCACTCGATGGGTAATGTGGTCAACATCGTACTGGCCACCTTTAATTACCAGGACTTTATCTGTTGCCCATTTATGGCTGGGTTGATATGGGAATGGCTGGGTTGATATGGGAATGGCTGGGTTGATATGGGAATGGCTGGGTTGATATGGGAATGGCTGGGTTGATATAGGAATCAAGGTCATTTTCGAAAATAAAAATAAAAAGTCTGGCTCTGTCAAGACCTGAACTCAGGACCTTGGGATCCGCGGGGAAAGTGACTAGCCGCTACACCCAGGTGGCTTCCCCTTGCTTCACAGTACATGGAGGAGAAGAAAAAAAAAAGACACATTTTGTGGTTTCCTCTTCTTCCTAATTGTGCTGACTCAACAATGGATGTTGGTTGCAGTGCATTCTCTACTATTTTTGGGTATATTACATGATGAGGTACTTTATTCTCCATGTTGCATACTCACACCACTGCTCAAAAGCCACAAGAATTGTCTTTTTCTAAACTGTCCTGCACAGAGATCAGACCTTGGTACTCAGGGATTATTAATGTGGCTACTAACTACTAGGCCAGAGAGCCACACTTTATAGTTATTGCTATTTGGGCCACAGTAGGTGCAGGAAAAGCAATGGACCGGGTTGATATTCTCAGTGCTGTCAAGGAGGCAGGACAAGAAGATGATTCAGGAGATGACGATGAGTCGGCAACACTTAAATGACTACAAGAACTTCAGGTCAAAAGAGGTGTCGCCAAACATGAACACTTTACAGGTAGCCAAAGAAGAATAGTAAACCAACACAAAATTGGTGTTATCAGTTGCCATATGCTGAAGGATATACTGAAGATGGGATCCAAGTGTTTATGGACTTGTCCGATATGCAGTGAGGATAATAATCTTTCGATTAACTAACTACTAACATATTCCTGCATAATTTTAAACTTTCTTCTTAAGCCTTACTGAAAATAATTTTTTGGTACACGTAACGTAATCTCCCCACGCCCATATACACACTAGGTCACTTCTGATTGGTAGTTCCTGAACCTGACAATGGAGCGGGACACACCTGTAACCATCAGGAAAGTTGACCAGCCCAACAAAATGAAAAGTGGCCTACTATAATTGGGGAGATTTGCGTAAAGTTAACTATTTTGTTCAATAAGCAACCCTCTAAAAATATTGTTCTTTCTTGTAGGTATATCCATCACTAGAGGATGAAACCAAAGCCATGCTACCTCCAGGGTCTTTTCTAACAGCATCTGGGGACAATACTATACGAGTGTGGAACTTGAACACTCACATGCCAGAAAACACCTCCTACAGAAGGAACATCTATAGTAATGTTAGTGTCTTGCGTATTGAAAATGTTTATACATGGTTTTGTCTTATGTGGTTTTTCTTAATTTTTTTTAAAAATGTTATTCTATTTATTGCAGAAGTATTTTTTGTTGACTTTGGTATTGGAATTCATCATCATCAGGTGCCTTGCCGACTGGCGTGGGTGATCATGCCTCTCCATAATCTGCGATCTCCTGCAGCATGTATCAGTTCGGGTGCCGACACACCTCCATGCCATGCAACAAGACTGTCAAGCACATTCTCTCATTGTCTTCCTCTATCCCTTTTTCCACAGATCTTTCCAGTGGTCACAACATGTTCTATTTTCCCTCTTCTCATAACATGGCCGAAAAATGATGACTGTCTCCTACTGATGTCTGTGATAAGTTGTCTTCGGGCTCCCGCCTTTTTCAAAACCTCTTGGTTGCTCTTTTTGGCTGTCCAAGGTATTCTAAGCATTCTTCTGTAAAACCACATCTCTGAGGCCTCTAAAAATTGTTTGGCCTGCCTACCGATTGTCCAGGATTCACATTCATATGTTAAAACTGGATGTATGTAGCAAGCAAGAATTCTTTTTATAACTCTCAATGACAAGGATATATTGCACAAGATGTTTTTCATTTTATAAAATGCAGTTTTTGCCTGTCCAATTCTGTTTCTTATTTCAGTTATGCATCTTCTATCTGATGTTATCCATGTGCCCAGATACTTAAATTTCTGTACTTGTCCTAAAATAACACCATTGACTTTTATTACACATTTAGGAATAATTTGTTTCTTTGATACCACCATTACTTCTGTCTTTCCATTATTCAAACTGAGGCCCATTCTTCCACTTTCTAACACCACAATGGCTATCATTTCCTGTAATTCTTTCTGACTTGTTGCTATCAAGGCTGTGTCATCAACGTAAATTGTTTATATTGTGCCCACCAACCACAATTCCGGGCATATGAATTAAAGATCTCATTATATATTCACTGTATATTGAAAACAAATCAGGTGACAGTACACATCCTTGTCGTACGCCCCTCTTTATGCTTTGAAATGTACCTAAACAGTTGTTTATTCTTATAGCTGCTGTTTGCTGCCAATACATATTCTTTATTATTCGTAGATCTTTCCCGTCAATGTTTAATTTTCTAACAGTTTGATTACTTCTTCATACTTCACAGTCAAATGCTTTTGTATAGTCTATGAAGCATAAGTACAAATCAGTCTTTACTTCTATAGCTCTTTCTCACAATGTCCTTAGGATGTAAATGGCATTGTTTGTGCCTTTTCCTTCTACAAATCCACATTGTTCATCGCTGTTTTCTGGTTTAGTTTTGTTTCTTATTCTTCTCATAATTATTCTCAGTAAAATCTTAGTCATGTGACTCATAAGACTTATTGTGCGATGGTCTTCACATTTTAAAGTTCCTGGTTTCTTTGGCAGAGCTATAAATATGGATTTTAAAAGGTCATTTGGAATATACCCACTATTGTAAATATCATTTAAAAGTTTAGTTATTATTTCAATTCCAAAATCTCCCAGTTCTTCGATTTCTTCCAGTGAGATGTTGTCTGGCCCGGGTGCTTTTCCTTTCTTCATATGATGTATTGCATCCTCAACTTCTGCAGTCATTATTGGTGGACCATCATTGTTGGTCTGCAGTTCTACATCTGGTCTATTATCATCATACTATTCCCCTATATACTCTGTCCATCTGTTAATTATATTACTATGTCCCATTAATAAGTCACCATCTTTTGATTTCAAACATCCAGGGCTGTTACGTGCCATCTTTCCTTTTAACATATTTATCTGTTGGTACATGGAATGTGAGTCTTTCCTGTGATTTTCCCCAATCTCTGTACACATTTGATTCAGCCAGGCTTCTTTAGCCACTTTGCATTTTTTTTCACTATTTCTTTTTGTATTCTAGAGTATTCTTCTTTATCATTCTTTTTCTTCCTTCTTTCATCCATCAACTGCAGAATTTCGGTTGACATCCATTTCTTTTTTGCAACTCTATGGGTTGGTGGGATTGTCTCTTTAGATGTCTGCTGAATTGACTCACGCAACATATCCCACTGTTTATCAATAGTCTGTATAATTTCCATTGCATTATACCGGTATTGTACAGTGACATTGTACTGGTCCTTAATTTCTTTATCCGTTCTAAGAATTCCTAAATTTAACTTGATGTTCTGAGGTGTTTTTCTAATGTTCTTTAGTTTTATTCAAATTTTCCTACAACTGGAACATGGTCACTAAAGCAGTCTGCCCCTGGTCTAGTTTTTGCTCCAGCTAAGCTGCTCTGGAATCTTCTTAAAATCAAAATATAATCAATCTGATTGCGGACACCAGGACTTTTCCAAGTCCACAATCTTTGAGGATGGTGTTTAAACCAGGTGTTACCTATTATCATGCTGCGCGACTCGGCCCATGCTATTAATCTGTCACCTCTCACATTCTTTTCTTCTAGGCCATAGCCACCCGTTATTCCGTACACTTTTTCACTTCCTACTTTCACGTTGAAATCTCCAAGTACCATTGTTACTTCACAATTTTTTGCATTCATCAACAGCCATGTCTAACTTGTCATAAAATGCGTCAATATCTTCCTCTGAACTATCTGCTGTTGGGGCATAAATCTGTACTAAGTTGATGTCAAACGGTCTGCTGCAAAGTTTTACTAATAGTACTCTATCTGATATTGTCCAAAATTATTTAACAGTTTTTGAGTTCTTTGGATCCAAAATAATACCAACTCCCTTACTATATTCCTTCCCACCCGAGTAAATAATTCTGTGCTGATCTGAATACTTTTCCCCTGCTCCTGGCCATCACATTTCACTAATTCCTAATATGTTGATGTTCATTCTCTTCATTTCCATCTTGATGTTATCCAGCTTTCCGTTTTGTATGAGTGTTCTGACATTCCATGTACCAATGTTCATGATGTTTCTACCATTAACTTTTTCTACAGTAGCTGGATGGCAGTCGGGTATCACCCGTAGAACATGATGCTCCCTACCGGACGAGGTGATTCCCCCGGAATCCCCATTCACGTCGTTCGCTGAATATTATTTTGAGGCATGATTTTCTTGGCATAGTACAGCGGTGGTTTCCCCTTGTTTGTATATGGTTTGACTCCAAAAGCCTTTGTCTAAAGAGACTTACCCTGCAAGGCAGCAGGGGGGAGAGGTTATGGCGCCTCTTACCCGCCGATGGCCATGTCGTAGAGTTTTGAGGTATTTTATAGAGTTAGCTGTCCCACCAACTAACTCGCCTCCTCTCAATGACCATCACCTGTTTTGGTCCACGGCCACTTATTCAATATATTTGTGGCTAACCTCTATATCTAGAGGCCTTTCCACCATCCGCCACCTGGTAGACGCGCCTAGTAGTAGGACAGGCTCCTACCCCAGGCTATCGGAATTATGTTGTTCAAATTATGGCACATGAAAAAGTGTTTCAAAATAAAAGGCACTGATAAATTATTTAAATAGACAGAAGTAATCATTAGGGAGTGTGGGAGGTACACGCCTTTATCAAGCCTATGCACAGTTACACAGATTGGGTATTTCTGCTATGGTGGTCATGATTATCTATTACCTGTGAGGTCATTGTGTCACACACAGACACTTACAGAGATAGTGAGAGAGAGCTAGCTAACAAGAGACAGACTTATTTGTACTTGTTCTTCTCTTGTAGCATGTGAGTTTCTACTAGTTTTCCCTATCCATTTCTGAATGTTAATTGCTCTTCCTGTTTTAATCTTCCTTTTTGTTTCTTGGACTGTTCCAGCAATCATTCCATTTAATCTGTATACATGAACATACCTAGTTTTTTTTTTTTAAGTTGCACACTGTCTGGTACATTTTACCATTGATAATTGAGACACAATCTTTATGTCATGTTAAGCATGTGTCTGTCCCGTCTCTTCTCTATTGCCTGATTTTTTTGGGGGGGCGGGGGTTGTAAACTGATCTTTATAGGTCACCCAGAATAATGTCTGTGTAAATTTCATCATGAAGCAAGCACAACAGGAGTCTTATGATTATGAAAAAGTTTGTTAACTTTAGAAACATTTTTTTAAACACTTTTGGATCATACTCACATTGATCTTAACTACCATATATCTTTCTCCATTTGTGCCTGACACACAACAGAAAGATGCTTGCAAAGCAGCTTAAATAACAACTTGTTTAAAATTGTTTTTCTTCTCCTCCTCCGACTGCTCCTTCATCACTGTTTTGTCCATCAGCTTTAAGTGAAGCAAAGACATCTGATGAGAACACTATGTGTGCTTTATATAAAATGGTATTCATAGCCACTCATCTGTCTGTGGTTTATGGAGGATGACTTCTTGCTCTGTTACGATTATGCCTAAAGCTTTTAACAGGGCTCTGTCTTGTGATAATCCTGTTACATGACCAAGTCACCGAATTTTCTGTTGGGCATATAGGACTAGACATATTTTATGAACTATTCTGCACTCGGTGGGTGATGTTGTCAACATCCTGCCGGCCACCTTTACTTCCCAGGACTTTACCTGGTACCCATTTATGGCTTGGTCAACATATTTCTGTGAAATAACAGAGATTTCTAACATAAACTTGTGAAGTGAAAAATGATTACATGCTCTTAGTGTTAGTGTTTAGTTCCAGTTGTACCACTTGTATTCCATATATAGGCTATTAATTTATGTTGTATTTTACTCTAAAATAACTTTTTAATTATTATTTTTTAATTTTTTTTTTAAATGTTTATTCAACCTTTTCCCTCATTGAATTCATTTTTGCTTCAGGAATTGTTGAAAATAGTGTATGTTGATCCCACATTGTCGTCATTGTGTAGCGTGGACTACAATCCAGGTAATCTATTTAAATATATACAAGTAAAGTAAAATAGTATTATCATGGGCCATACCAAGCATACAGACAAAATTATGTCTGTTCTCAAATAGTATCCTCTCTGTTCTTGAACCATTTGATTTCTGTGTTCTTTATATATGTCTTCCATGCCATTTTGTCAGTGAACATTTTCTCCCTAATAATTTCTGCCTTTGACACCCTCTTTCTTTCTGTTTGTCTTTAGCATCTCCGGATCCTCTTGTAACCTTAAAAATAATGATTGTCTTGTTTTAATCTGAGTAAATCACATTTTGTTATTGTTGTGAATTGACATCTTGCAGTACTTAGATATTGGTCTTCTTTATGTATTATTCTTAGCATTTTACAGTAAAACCACATCTCTCTGGCCTCAGACAGCAAATTTAAAAAAAAACATTTAAAAAAAAAAATGTAAATTCAGTGTCTATGAATGACAGGCATTTCAGTTTTAAAGTAAATATTGAATAGTATGAAGTATTTAAAACCTTGGACTACAAGGAGAGCTTGATATAAGCATTAACAAATTACTCTCTTTTTTTCAACGATTGCGGAATATTTAGAATGTGACCAACCTGTCACCTTCAAGCATCCCTAACTATGAAATATTTATGCTAGGGTTGTTCATAGAAAAGTGTAAAAAGCTGTTGGTATTATCTGTCAGTGTAAAGGTTACTGTATAGAAAGAGCAGTGACAGACATTGTTGGCATAACATGGTTAGAAAAACTGATTGACCTGAGAAGAAGCTTTAACTAATTTATATTTATTTAATGTCCTCTGAGAAAAGGAAAATGCAGTCCATCAGTTTTCATTAATGGATTCTCATCAGTTTTAGAAAAACTCTTAAAATTCTGTGGACCAAGAAGACCAGAAACACTGACATCCAACATGATCTAAGAATTGAAGAAAATTGGCTCATAAACAGCATAGAAGGTTATTTAATGTATGTTTTCCTAATTCAGCTGTGTGCATCATATGCTGTAATTGAACTGAATTAAATACTGTCAGGCTGAATGAAGCCTTGTTTAGTGGGAAATTCAGTCTGCAAGTTTACCATCAGTAAATCATACATGCACATTTTTGTACTGAATGTGTCAGTGTTGATTAGGTAGAGGTATTTGAGGTATATGGTTTTTGCTTTTTAGAAATTATTGTCAGTATATGTCACTTACTGTCTCATGGCAGATTTTGTCAGTAAATAAAGTCTCGAATTTAGATGTTGCCATGACAAAGTGGTTAATTTGTTAGCTTCATGCTTTAAAGATTGAGGACTTAGTTTCAGACTCTGTTATTTGGTGTAGGAGTGCAGCTCTTTGAAGAAATATAGGGGTAGTTGCTGGGGCTTTGGAGTTTGTGGTTTGAGCATCACACAACATAAAAAGATGTAGCTCTCATATAGGATAAAGCTCAGTGAAATAAAATCCACCCATTTGCTTTTAAACACCTCTTTAAACTTGAATCTTAACAAACTATAGAAGTCTGAATCAGGGAAAAATAAAGAAAATGTTTTTATTTGTTTAGAAAACCTTTTTTTTTTTAAATACGCATACTCTTGCCTGATAGTGTTTTTTCTTCATCAACCAGCTGGTGCTACAGATAAAACAGACACCAGCTATGATGGCAAAAATGGGGTGCGCTCAATCAGAGTAAGTCCAGATGGTGCACACCTTGCTTCTGGAGATCGGCAAGGCAACATTAGGTGAGAGTGAGTTTTACGGCGATTAGTATCATCATAGCACTCGGGACAGATTCATAGCTGCTCTGTCTCCCTCAGTAGCTCTACAAGCATAAAAGGACTGATAGTGCCTGTTGTATGTTGATAAATCAAATCGTTTTATGCCCCTGGTGAAATGTTCATGTCTGGCAGCTCCATGTTGCACCCCCCCCCCCCCCCCCCCCTCCTATGTCCATCAGCCTTGATAGGGATGCATAGTCATGCCTTTTGTTGTATTTATCTTCGCATTGATGACACTGAGCAAATTAATTGAGTCGCTCAGTATGCACGCATGTGTGAACCTTTTGAGTCCCCTGCCTTGCTAATGCCCTTGTTACAGCCATAGTTATCATTGTGGGGCGGTTTGTTGTAACAGCAAAGACACCATTTATCTTCGCATTGATGACCTGAACTGAGCAATCACCTTCATCTGTGTTCTCATTGAGTCGCTCAGTCTATGCACGAACGTTATACCAACTGCCTATACATATTTCTTGTGCTTGTTGTTAGGGTCAGTTGCTCATAGACTGTCCTGCTGAGAAAAGGAAAATGCAGTCCCTCAGTTTTCATTAATGGATTCTCAACAGTTTTAGAAAAATTCTTAAAATTCTGTGGACCAAGAAGACCAGAAACATTGACATCCAACATGATCTAAGAATTGAAGAAAATTGGCTTATAAACAGCATTCTGTCCCAAAAGCTGAAGTGTCTGGTCCATGTTAACATCATGGTGTCCGGAGAGAACAGTGATGGTGTTACAGATCCAGAAAAACAAGGCAGATGCAAACCTACACAAAGGCGGATACAAGACATTAAAGATGCATTGCCTATGAAAGCATATAGGGCTGAATAAGTCGCTAGAGAAGGAAAGACTTTCGGGTGTGCCGTGACGAGAGCAGTGTTCTGTAAAGGGCCTGCTGATTGGTGGTGATGATGAAAGTCACAGACAGCAACAGTAGTGTGTTGAGTACATTTTGTTTATTTCTGTAGACTCTATGACATGCAGTACCTCAGGGAACAGAAGTGTATTGAAGCTCATGATTCTGATGTCATGTGTCTGGAATACTCATACACAGATGCTGGTGAGTCTTATATTTCATGTTTTGTTGCAGTAAATAATAAATAGGTATTATTGTGTATTACAAGTACAAGTACATTTGAATAGCTGGCTTAGATCAAGTTCTTGTAAGTTTTGAAATGTTTTTTTCTGTAATGAAATATAATAGCAAACACACAGGCATGACGCAAATGGTGGTACACACACTCGCTCACTCATACTCACTCATTCATACTCACTCACACCTACTCACTCACTTACACACACAACAGTAAACACAAATAAAGCCTTTTTTACATCCTTATGCATAAAAGGTTTATGGCGTGCTTTGTTATATATTTTCATAGACCAGTGGGTATTCAGTGCGTGATGTCATATCCTGCTGGCTGCTTTTACTCTCCAAAATATTTCTTGGTATTTTTGGCAGGGGACAACCTGGGATAAATGTGTTTAAAAAGTTTTTTTTTTTTTTTTTAACCCTGACAGGTTTTCAAGCACTACTGCGAATCCCAAGTCTTGGATGATATAACAGTGATATACTTTAGAATTAGAACAGCTGTATGCCAGAGCCAACAGTGTCTTCATGCTAAATGGACAAATATGGAGATATTTTTGAAAAACAGTAATAGTCAGGGCTGCCTGCCATTCACATATTAGTTAAGGAGGCTGCGTGGTCTTGATGCATGGAGTCCGCCCTGAGTGCTGGAGGTCCCGGCTTCAGGTCCTGGTGAAGGCTAGAATCTTTTTACGTGGACTTCTAGTAATTTCCCCTGATCTCTGGGTAGTAAGAACGGACGCCCGTGTGTATTGCTGCGCACGCAAAAATCCATGACAGTTGGAAATTGAAAAAGAGTGGCCTAACGGCGCTGCCCGGGCAAAATTTGGAGTTAAAAATTACCTAAAGTATTTCAGGATCCTCGCCAGAGTCCGTGCACTGCACTGAGATGCTTCAGACTCAGGTTGGTTTGAGTCAAAAGTAGAAAGGAGCACTTTTGGGTTACTACCCTTGTGCCATGATGCTATTCCGTCGTCTAAACCTGAAACCTAAACCTAAACCACACATTGTTGAGTATCTTCCTAGAAAAGGGAATCTCTTTTAAAAGATGAAAAAAGCAATGCTTTAGTCATGTCACAAGATCTACTAGTCTCTCCAGAATTATAGTGCAGGGCTCGGTAGAGGAGAGAGAAGAGGCATATCGGGATAAACCTGGATACAGAATGTGGCTAGATGGACATGCAATCATCAGGTCCATTGCATCTGACCAACAGAGGTTGAAAAAACTGATCAGCCAGTCAACAACAATTCAGCTGGTGACCTGACGTGTTATGGGATTATGATGATATGAATGAGTCTTTGATGCTAACCTGGTTACTTGACCTGGTAGTAAAGCCTTGTGAAGCATTTCTGTACCATCGTCAAGGTCAAGATAGATATCATAACCAACTTCTTATTGGAACGTTCATTAAGGGTACCTTTAAGAGGGCGTTGTGTCAGAAGACTGAACACTCATGATTTGCTTAGGGTGCACTGACATCAGTCGTATTAACATATTACAAAGATATATTCTTAGGTTAGAGCCTTAAAGGTTATAATGTATCATTAGTTACAGCATCAGTCTCATCTTTTCAGGCCGTTTTCTTGCAACTTCCAGTCGTGATAGACTTATCCATGTGTTTGATGTGGATGCACATTATGGATTGGTGCAGACACTTGGGGATCATTCATCTTCCATCACCGCTGTACGATTTACAGACCTGGACAACAAACTTAGGATGATCAGCTGTGGTGCTGACAAGTCGATTTTACTCAGAAATGCCGTAACTGTAAGCAACTTTATGTCCTTAAAAAAATAACATTTTTTAAAAATCTCATGTCCTTCATTTAATGCTTTGTGTTCTCTAGTTACTATCTTGTGTTTTTGATTTACTAACTTGTGTTTGTGATTTACTGACTTGTGTTTGTGATTTACTGACTTGTGTTTGTGATTTACTGACTTGTGTTCTTCTTCTTCTTTTGTTAGCTCGAAATAGATTATCTATATCTGTAATGTTGTCTCTAGTATTAACTTCTCTGTCTTTTATAATTCACTCAGCGACCCATAAAGTTTGACTTGCACCGATGCTTCTTGTGTTCTATTTACTACTTGGGTCCTTAAATTACTAACTTTTGTTCTCTGCTGAGATCATTATGTTCTGTAATTACTTGTGTTCTTGATTTTTTTTTTTTTTTCTGTTGACTGATCTGTCTTCTCTATTTACTGACATGTCTTCTCTATTTACCGACCTGTATTCTAATTACTGACATGTCTTCCGTGTTTACTGACCTGTCTTCACTATTTTCTAATGTCTTCTCTGTTTATTGACTGCCTTCTCTGTTTTCTAACATGTAGTTTCTGTTTTATTATGTGTCTTCTCTATTGACTGACAAGTTCTCTGTTTACTGAATTGAGCTCTTTATTACTGATCCGTGTTCTTGATTTACTGACTTATTTATTTTTGTAAATTACCGACTTGTGTTCTCTATTTTCTGACTGGTGTTCTTGATGTACTGACTTGTATTTATTTACTGGTAATTTCGTGTATTTTGTATTCTGCAGTCTCCTGAGTTTCAGTTCCAACTGGAACACCATTTGGCCACCAAGATCACTTTGTATGACATGGTGATTGACCCTACACAGAAACTCCTGGCCACAGCTTGTCAAGACAGAAATGTCAGGTGAGAGAAGCACAGTTTTGAAAATGGACAGAGTATCACAGTTTTCAACAGAATCACCAATCTTATGAGAGAGTTTTGAATGAAAACAGTTTTGTCAGGGGACAGAGTATTGCAGTTTTCAACAGAATCACCAGTCTTATGAGAGGGCTTCAAATGAAAACAGTTTTGACAGGGGACAGAGTATCGCAGTTTTCAACAGAATCACCAGTCTTACGAGAGGGCTTCGAATGAAAACCTTAAAAGTGTAATACAAATTACATTAGCCATGAAATTGTTTTGTAACCTGACAGTATTGTTAAGGGTGTCAAGAGTGTTAAGCACATGACATCATATAGACAGTTTATAGATGGCTGCCCACTTTTGACATGCACTAAAGAGGAGCAGCATTTTTTTGTCCAGTTTTTGGATTAAGGTAGGGATGAAACCTGTAGAAGTGAATTGGCAAATCAAGGTCTAGTGTGGTGGGGCATGCCTGTCAGTCCAGCTTTCCTGCACGAGGCCTTTGAAGGCTGCGATCGACCATGAGGTCACTGCTCTGTGTACCTGACCCGGTTTATCAGTGATACCCTTTTACATCTGATTTTTTTCTGATAGTATTTTCTAGATAAAATGAATCTCTTCAAATTTTATAATTGACCAGAACTGTTCTGATCTCATTTGATACTCTTTTAATCTTTTGGTATTGCTGCATTTTTTTCACAGTTTGCGTTAAGTTATAGATATAAATGAATCTCTTCAAACAAATGCTCTTGTTTGCTCATGTCTTTCTATGTGGTTTTTTTTTTTTTTAACTTTTTAATTTCTTTGCAATGTTTATTGTTTAATATTTCTGTAGATTATACAACATACAAACGACCAAAGAAAAGAAGTGCTACAAAGGATCATTAGGGGATGAAGGGGTGTTGCTGCGAATTCACCTGGACCCCTCAGGGACATATGTAGCCACAACTTGCACAGATAAAAATGTATGCATTCTGGATTTCCACACTGGAGAGCTGGTGGCTACCATGTACGGGCATTCAGAAGTCATCACTGGCGTCAAGTTTGTCAATGACCTGAAGCATGTGATAACCGTGTCAGCAGACGGGTAAGAGCTTTCTGCTTTTTAGCATTGTTATCACTGTCTTATGTTATTTAGGACTGAATTGTCTGCTTTTCTTCCTGTCATTTTTTGAGAATTGTTTGGGAAGGAGAGTACGAAGGTGGAAACTGGTCAGCCCACTCTGTATGTTGTGGCTTAGAAAACTCTTAAACAAGATAGTTGGAGCAATCTCGGGACAGCAGTACATTGAAAAGAAGATGTCTTTTTTGAGATTAGAATGATGGAAAAATTAACCTGTTGTAAGATAGAAAACATGCTCACCAAAAAGAAGCTGTCAGTTGTAGTGGGTAAAGGTGTTAAATTGGACATCTATTTTTGTATATAAAATGGACAATAACTGGATACGCTGAGAAATATCGAATTGCAGAAATGTGGTTCCTGTAGACTGTGCTAACAATACCGTCAACAGACAGAGAAAAAAAAAAAACACACAAATAAGATAGAAATGAATTAAACCTAAATTGATAGAAAGATTAGATGTAGAAAGTAAGATTGAGAAGTGGAAGGGGGGGGGGGCATATTTTGAGCATAAATAGACTAGAAAACTTAGCAACCTACAAAGTGGATGAGAAAAGAGCTAAGAGAAGACACCGAGAAAATACTCAGATGGCAGGCTACATGGCGTTACTTATATAAAAACACAGGCCTGATCCAAGACTTGTGAGATAGTGAGCCCTGACTTCCTATATTTCCTAGTGAACCCTTACTTCCTATAAGCATCATGCGTGTTGGTATGCATGAAATATGTTTTTCTTCGACATCATCATTTTCTTTTATTGTAGATGATTATGTGTTGATTATGTCTTCCTTTTGTGCTGGGTTATGTGGGTGTTTGGGGCAAGGAGTGTGTGTATCTTCTTTCTTCTTCTTCATGTTTACCAGCTGTAAACTCTGGTGGAAAGTTCTGGTTGTTTGTCCATTTCTGGACTGCAGTCCAGAACCTGAGTGTCGCGTGTGCATCCATTTTACAGATATGACTCATTTGTATGCAGACTGCTGGTTCCTTGCCTCTCAGGCAGATGCACTCTGACTTCAAAGGAAGCTTCCATTTAGTCGACTCTTACGACATACTTTTGGGTAAGCAGTGGGTCTATTCTTGTTTTCCCTATAATAGGGCCCCGGAACCCACACAGGGATGTGTGTTATCTGATGAACACTGTTTGTTATACCTGGTCTGGTGCTAGACAGAAGCAATCTCATCTCATAAAAGCCACGAGGTTTATCGTGAAAATGAATGTGACAAAAGACATGACTCCATATCCCTATCGCGGCTAGTGGAAATGGCAGTGCAGCCTTGAGGCTACTGGACATGAACATTTCACTGAGTGCACAAGATGTTTATGCTTGTGGAGCTATTGAAGAGGAGATCAGAGCACCTGTGAATCTTTACCCCTTTGGAGACGGAGTTGTTTTGGAGTTTCATTGCCAAAAAGACAAAGCCTTCAGCTAGAGAATTTTCTTAGTTAACTCACACAAACATTATAAAAAATAAATCGTGTAATTAACATATACAAAACTATATATATATATATATATATATATATATATATATATATATATATATATATATATATATATATATATATAGATATATATATATTGGGGGGGGGGGGGGGAGAATGAATGAACTAACAGAATATGTATGAATCAAACTGAAATCTCAACATTTATTCAAATTAACTATTAGGAATTGCATAATTGATGCAGGCATTTTTTTTAATAACTTGGGATCAAACATGACTAACCTGAAAAATTTGGTTTTTATAAATGAAGCCTAAATAAGTCCTGAGACTTGTGTTTTGGGGAAATAAGGCCCATGGATGCCGTTCAGACACATGGTTCTACTCATTTTCATGCCTTCTGCTATGTTTCGGTTGCTATGTTGCAACGGCCTTTTCGTCGTCATTGGGCACAGGTAAGCCCACAAAACAAAACAAAACAAAAATCGCTGTAAAATTACAAAAAAACATCAAACTTTCTCGAAAGTCGTCATTAAACAGCCCACATATGCAAGAAATGTGAAAAGCAATCTGATTGGCTGGTACGAAAACCTGCCAGTCAATCTCAGTTCTTTTTTTATGCAGAGCCGACCGATCAGCCCAGCCGTCCTTTTGTCTGCTTTTGTGCTGGGCCAGTATTTCAGCCACATCATCTCCAGAAGATTAAGGAGTTCTGTGATGACAGTCCTTACTTATCACTTAACCCCCCCCCCCCCCCCCCCTCTTTTTTTTTTTTTTAAAAACACAGCTTATATATAATTGAAGATATATAATTGCGAGGAGTGTATGTTTCTTTTTGACATTGTAATTAACTCTCTTTATAGATGCATATATGTATGGCGACTTCCTGAAGACATGACCAACCAGATGAAAGGGAGACTGCTGGAGTTGGGGAAAACAATGAAGGATGCTGATTATTTCAGGTCAGTGACTGTACACTTTTGTGGGGTGTTTACCTTATATGGCATGTACAAGGAAGCATCACTGCTTATAAGAAAATAATTAGGCATCGTATGTTTCTTTAAACTAATGCTGTCTTTCATTTCCAGGCTAGAAATCAGCCATATCTTAAAATTTCTTCATTTAACATCGTAATTTTCAGTGAAAAAAATATTTAGTCATCCCCTTTCCAGTGTGGGACAATTGTTTAAAACTATTTTAGAGTCCCACCCCAGCTTTAGTCAGGGGGCCCCCAATATAACTAAATATTGAACAGGGTTTCTTGGACTTGTACCCGGGGATTCTCATCCAAATAGTGGCACTTTGTGTCACCAGGTCTTTATCGCTCATTGTGCGGTCCTGGTAGTGTTGAACTCACTCAAAAATATAGTATTTTCTACAACTGCCCTTTGGGCATATGGGTATACTAACCCTCAAGCTATCCTATTTTTTTTTTTGCCTTCTGCTGCTCGTGCTATATCCTCCCCATATTATTCATCCCTGTCTCTACATCTCTCTTCAGTATTTTTAGGTCTCCTGTCTCTTTTGCCCTGTGGTTTCTGGTGCAAAGACATTCTTGCTGGATTGTTTTTCCCCACGTGTCCTGTCCAGCGCCATTGTCTTTTGCCCGTCTCTTGATTCACTGGAATTTATTTAGCTCTCTCCCTAAGTCCTGTTTAAACAATTTTGTCATGTCATACCATACATTTGAGGAAATAAGATAATGAATGTTTGAAGTTTATTTATGGAATGGTATGAAAAATATTTTATTTTTGCTTTGTTTTCCTTTTGTAAAAGAACACATTTATGATGCAAGTTATTATTTAATAAACTCACTGCATCCTCTGTGTGCTGTTAGACGTCACATAGGGCTCGCATTTGATTCCTCCCAACCTCTCTATAGCATGCAACTTTCTCGGTTTCTGACATGGAGCTCAACCCAGCATTTTTTGCCTCTTGTAATAATGTTCTTTTTAATGTTTTCCTTGGATCCTTGTTTTTCTCTCAGACCGTTTGTGTTCCCATTTCAGCGCCTGTTTTGTAATTCTTTGCCCATTTCATCTCAAGGTGTGCCTAATATATTTCCACCTTTTTTGGTCTAATTGCAGTCGATGTCCAGACATTTCTTTGATCTTCTCACTCTGTAAATTGTTATGTTAAAATTTGAAATCTTGACAGCTGATCTGTGTATTTTAGCATGTTTTTTTTTTTTATCATAGAGGTTGTATTTATGCCATGTAATAAAAAAAAAAAAAATCCTAACATGATATGTTTGCTGACTTTACTAAATTTTTTACAAATATAGTAGCTAACATTGTGCTCAGTTCAGCCATCCTGATTTGATTTATGTAGAATGATAGAAGTATAACTAGTTTGACTAGAAAATCACTATTAAACTTTCATCAGCATAGACATACAAATAAGATTATACAAACACATATCTGTTCACAGCTTAACTGTTTAACAGTATGTGTTTTATCTACTTTCTCTCTGTTATAGATCTGATCAATCTTTGATGCCAAATCCAGTAATGTTGGACAGCTCAGCTGTCGATGGAAACTTCCCTGTGGTCAAGTCAGCATCAACAGGCCACATTTCCATGTTTAATGATGAGAATACTGATGATAAAGAAGAGGGTAATGGTGATTCAGAGGATATGACTCTTGACATGTTTGATGATGGAGCCAGCCAGGCTAGTTTGGACTACAGGTTCAGCATTGGGCAGTTGCCCAACTGGGCTAAAGCTAAGGTAAGTGGAGTCATGTGTGTTTATCTTGTATATCAGTACTTCAGCTTCCCTTGTGGGTTCTGGGGTCCCATTGTAAGGAAAACAAGAATAGATCTACTGCCTCCCCAACAAGCATGTAGTAACAATTGACTAACTGGGGGCTTCCTTCGAAGTCGGAGTGCAACTGCCTGAAAGGCAAGCAACCAGCAGTCTACACTCAGATGTCAGATATGTAAAATGGATGTGCACACAACACTCCAGTTCTGGAACAAAACTAAAGTCTAAAGATGGACGAGCAACCAGAACTTTCTGCTGGGAACGTGAAAAAGAAGAGTACTTCAGTTCCGAGGGCTCATGGACCCCATTGTGGAGGCAAAAAAATATTAAGAATAGAACCCCTGAAACACCCTAATAAGCATATCATAAAAGTCAGCTACTTCCTTCAGAGTCGAAGTGCATCTGCCTGAGAGATGAGGGACCAACAGTCTGCCACATCTGTAAAATGTATGTGCACGCAAAACTCAAGTTCTTGAACAAGACCAAAGTCTAAAAGTGGACCAAGCAACTAGAACTTTTCACCAGAGTTTACAGCTGATGAAGGCATACAAGAAGAAGGAACAAGACTGAAGTCCCCACAATAGAGTTCACAGCTAGTGATCACAAAGAAGAAGAAGCAGGAACAAGACTGAAGTCCTGAAGTGCCCAAGCTCGCTTGCGTAGTTGGCTAAACCGGACTGCGCAATGACCTGGTGACGAACTCCTTGTGGTCTGGGTTCACGCCTGGGGGTAGGCAGAAAAGCCACATTTCTCCCAGATTTACGGTATTTATCATGGAATCAAGGCCGAAGGGTTGCGATATCCATAATACCGAGCCTAAAGGTTAACAACTCATGGCTTCTGGATACTAAAAAAAAAAGTCTGAAAGTGGACGAGCAATGAGAACTCTACAATAGAGTTTACAGCTGGTGATTGCAAAGAAGAAGAAGCAGGAACAAGACTGAAGTCCTGAAGTGGACAAACAATGAGAACTCTACAATAGAGTTTACAGCTGGTGATAGCGAAGAAGAAGAAGAAGCAGGAACAAGACTGAAGTCCTGAAGTGGACGAGCAACGAGAACTGTAGAGTTTACAACTGGTGATCACGAAGAAGAAGAAGATTACTTCAGGTGATGATGTCGATTTCTTTTTGTAAGAATGTATAATGAGAGTTATCTTGAACTGTGCATTGTTCGAGCATGAGGTAATTTAGTATAAACAAAGATGTTAAAGGATCATTTTCATGCCTTTGATGTATTGAGCATGTAGTGCTACACCCAAATTTTTTTTAGACTAATCAGCACTTGATGGTTCATGTGGTCAGCATCGCATCAGCCATCATTACTTCCCTGGGCGAAACTTGGGACCCATTTTAGGTTGGGTCAACCTAAAGGTCAGTTTGAAAAATCCAGGTGGTGCAGATTCTAATCCTTGACCTTCGGCCCGGCAGGCAAGATCTTGGCACTGAGCTACCAGATCCTTCCCGCAATATCATATCTTAGTTATCCTCTTTTGTTGATGTCTGGTTTTTTTTTTTTTAACTCAGTTTGGGGATACACATTCTGAAGGATCTGAGAGTAGCCAGGAGCATGTTCAGCCGAAGGGAAGATGGGCTCAGAGAATAGATCACACTGTGGAGTTCAAATCCCAGTTAGATCTGACTTCAGAGGAGGATACTCCCACAGGTAGGTAAAAAATATAGTAGTAAAGGGCCCATTTACATTGCGGTCAGTAAGGTATATGCTGTTAGCATTGTATTTATATAGACCAGTTGACATTTGATGGCTGATGTGCTTAGTAAATACTTTGCTGGCCACCTTTGCTTCTTAGAAAATGTCTTGTATTCATTCATTTGCTGGGTTAACTAGTTAGCCAGTTTGAATGCATGATCACTAGAATGGCAGATTGTCTTGGGACGTTCCTCATAACTGGTGACTCTAAGGGATGTGAGTTCAGATTCCCTACAGTTGAGAACCAAATGAGAAACTGAGACAGATACAGGGTAAAATAAGCTCATGAAATAGATTAAGCTGACTCAGTATCCACAGGAGAAGAAAAGAGGAGTTTGGAGATGAAAAGGTGAGAGGATTGACTTCACTGCACCCGGCTTTGTTCTGTATAGCTCAGTCTCTCTCTACAGAACAGCTAGCTGCCAGCCGAGAGTGTTGCACAGAGCACAACCTTTGTAAGTTCAGCGACGATCCTCCAGGGATCTCCGTAAAAAATTGCACTCGTGAACTGAAAGGTTCCACCGTGAAACGAACCCACGACCTTCAGAGCACGAGGCAAATGGCTTGACCACTTCACCACGGAGACCCCCCAGTTTAGAGATGTAGATTAAATTACTTCTTCATTCACTGACTGTGAATTCTATCGAAAGGTCCTGTTTAATTGTCCCCTTGGACTTTTGGCTTTTACCTGGACCTGAGTTTTGCATGTAAAACCGTTTTACTGGCTTTTGCTGTTCCCTGCCTCGCGGGCAGATATACTCCGACTTCGAGGGATGTGAAATTACTTAACTGCAGATTGTCTTCCCCAATACTCCCCTCCTGTTTAAAAAAAAAAAATGAACCCTCACTAGGTGTCTTAACTTTTCTAAGTTTTGCTTTCAAACTTTCACACTCACCTAGCAACTTGAAGTAATAAAGACTTAGCAAATCAGTTCTGTGATGGTTAATTGATAATGTTAATGATTAAATTGAGTGAATGGATGTTATCATAGATTGATAAATGAGTTAGATTATGGTTGATGCAATGACTATACAGTCTGTCTTTACACATGATTGAAATGAAAGGAAACAGCCTCGAGGCAGTCCTCCAAATGATACTTCCCGGATCCAGTTTGAATGGGGTCCCCAAACTGAAGGTCCAGTCGCTAAGTCTATCAAATCAGCCTATGATCCTGTGAGAACTGAGATAAAATAATGTGTAGTTCATCTGTCTTTTTCTTCTTCTTAAAGTCCAGGCCGGGTGATGTTGGTAGTCATGTCTATCCACAACCTTCTGTCTCATGTACTTTCAGTCGACTGTGACACTGATGATCTTCCGTGCCATGATGTCAAACTGTCCAGCATCTGTCCTCTCGGTCTCCCTCTGCCTGTCTCCAGTTTTCCTACCATCATGATGTACTCCAGTTTTCTCCTCATGACCAAAGAATGTAGATTGTCTCTTTCTGATGTGGGCAATCAATTCTCTTTGTGAGTCAGTTTCTTTCAAGACATCTTCTTTACTCTTTTTATCTGGCCAGGGTGTTCTCATTCTTTAAAACCACATCTCCGCAGCTTCCAAATAAGTTTTCACTAATTTACTAACTGTCCATAATTCACATCTGTATATCAATATAGAATTTATGTAGCTTTTAGGAATTCTCTGTCTCGTCTCAATTGACCCGCTGGGTGTCCTTTTTGGCTTCTCTGTTCCTGTCATGTTGTGGAATCTTGAGGTAGATTGGTCCTATTAGGAATGCACGCCACCGTTTGCAGATAGCATGAGGAAAGTACAAGACTGTTGTTAAAACTGCATCACATTGATAGTTTTGAAATTCTGAGGGCCTGAAATGCCAGAATTTATATAAAAATCAGTTTTTGAAATTTGGGAGGTCTGAAAATGAAAATTTTCATCAGCTTTAATCTTAAGATCTTCCTGAAATAAAATTTGACTATTTTAAATGTTTACTTTATTGCGATAATTATATTAGTATACTTGAAACAAAATTATTCAAATAATTTGCTTTAAACTCCAAGTCTGGACAATTAGGAAATATTCTGAATTGAAATGTGAAAATTATGATATCTTATTTTAAAAAAAAGAACAATTGAGTGAACAGAAATTATTTTCAAAGAATTACAAACAGGAAAAGGAAATGATTGTAGGGAAACTGAGATGGTTATATACAGAATGATAGGCAAACAGTTGAACAGCATGTCCTCATTTTGATCACTTAAAAGATATATGTACCTGAATTGCATTGAAAGCAGAGGTGGGGTTTGGCCATCTAATAAGAATGCACCCAGATCAAACTGTATATGAAACCTTCTACTGAAAAATATCTGGGCGGAAGATGAAAGTAAGACCAAGGAAATGATACATAGGCAGCTTGGCTGAATTGGAAAAAAAAAAAAAACAGATAAACAAAACAATCATTCTGGCCACCCGACATATGCAAGACAGATACGAAAATACATGACATTGGACTGCAACCCAGTAACAGTGAAGATAGAAGAAGAAGAAATAAACATGTAAAATTCAAAGTATTACCTTTTGCCACATGAAGAAGATATTACAGAATTACTATTCACTGACGACCAGGTACTCCTAGCAGAAAGTATGGAATGCCTACAAAACCACCTAAATCAAATTAGTAACAAAGGGGAGGAATATAATATGAAAATAAACACTTCGAAGACCGAGACAATGGTGATAGGAAGACAAAAAGACAATTTAGATTAAAAATAACACCTTAAGACAAACAGAGGGAAATTAGCTCGAGATGTGCCAAAGCTAATCAAGTAATGGGGCAACTATCTCCCCTGTTGACATACAAGCAAATACCTCGGAGTGCTAAAGTGAATCTTATCAGAACTATTTTTGGCCAACACTATGCTCTCAATGCCAAACGTGGACACTTACATCCTCCAATGAATGTAAAATTGTGACAACAGAGATAAAATGCCTTTGAAGAGCCGCAGGAGTTTCAAGGAAAGACAGAATACAAAATCACAAAATCAGATTAATGCTAGGAATAAAGCCAGTCTTACAGTTATCAAAGAACACCAAATGAAGTGGTTTGGACACCTAACAAGAATGCCCTGGTACTATGTGCCACAGTGCCACAGCGAGCCACACTAAAATATTACAACGGATATAGAGCGAGTGGATGACCTCGGAAAATATAGAGTGATGGCATTAAGAACAGCCTAACAGAAATGAACATCAGACTTTATAGTTCTCTTGACACAGCTCATTAACAAACATTACATCTCCCCCCAGCACTTCGATGAGGTACAAGGTGGAAGAGAAGAAGAAGAAGAAGACCTATTGCCCAGTTATGTTAGTAAACGTTGCGGCACAATAAAATTTAAAGTGAACTTTTAAAAAAAAAGGTATTTGAAAGGCATAGAAGATATCCAACTTTTCTCAATGTCAAAACTTACTTTTTTACTTAAAATCATGAGAGAGAGATAGAGATAGAGAGAGAGACATGGAATATTAACAGTGAGAGAGAGAGACGTGGAATATTAACAGAAAGAGAGATAAGGGAGAGAGATAAGGAATATTAACAGAGAGAGAGATGTGGAATATTAACACAGAGAGAGAGAGAGAGAGAGACGTGGAATATTGAGAGAGAGAGAGAGAGAGAGAGAGAGAGAGAGAGAGACGTGGAACGTTAACTCATTTTCTAGTGCAGTGGCCTCCAACCTTTCTCAGGTGGCGCCCCTCATGAGTATATGGGAGAACATGCACCCCCCCCCCCCCCTCCCCTCTTTTTTTTTTGGTTTCAGATTAACAGTATGTGATTAAAAAAAGAGGAGGACAAAAAGAAAAATCCTGATGCACTATTAACAAAATCTTGGAACAAAACACCTACATAAATCAGAGTGTCATATAACAAAAGGAACAATCACCAACTTATAATATAGTGTCCAAATATCATTGTAAGTTGCAGTGGGGTAGCGGCTAGACGCTCACATATGGATCGGAAGGTCGTGGGTTCGCTCCCTGTCTTGATGATGTCTGCCATTTTTGGTCTGATGTTGGACAAGGCACAACAGCGATCACTCTCCATGTCGAGCGGGCAGTGCTGTTTTGTTTTCATGACTGTTAAAGCTGAAAAGCCAGATTACAAGTACAGATGCACCTGATTTCAAATTTGCTTGACCACCCCCCCCCCCCCTTTTCCGGGTGGAGACCACTGTTCTAGTTTTGAGAACTCTTTTACTGTGCACATGCACACTGTTTTAACACATGCAGTACATACATTTTTATCCTCTGTAACTAACAACAGATGTAACACATCCAGCCTTTCCTTATGTATAATTAAAAACATATGTATTTAACCTTTTGTGATATGTAACGATAAACATACAACATATCTCACTGTCCTTAATTCCTGTATTTACCACTTTTAGAGTGCTTATGGGGGGTGGGGGGGGGGGGGGGGGTGTCGTAATCCTGAGGATTTAAGGCCTCTTGGCTAGTGCACTCTCAGACTGTGAAGGTACTTCTTCTTCTTCAGCCTTTTGAGCTCTGAGGTTCATTGCTACAGATCACAGCCAGCTCCAGCCTTGCTACAGATGTCACCCACCTCTATTCATCTCTGTGATTGGCCTTAGGCCTTGCCTTTCCAGTTGGTGACTCCAAATTTGTGTAGGTTAACCTGTAAATTATCTCTCTACCATCTGTATTCCCATTCAGTTCAATGGTGTTCGCAGCTTTTGTCTCTCACTTCCCTGCAACTGTCTGTTTATGTACAGGTTAGGATTTATATTTTTGCGCCTGACAGAGAAAAAAAATTTCCTTTTCTTACCGAGGATCGAACCTGGGTCTCTCACATGAGAAACGGCACTAACTACACGGCCAGATGCTCCTGACATATTCGACACGTTGAGTATATCTTCCCCTGTGGGTTTCTGGGCCTCATTGGGGAGTGGGGGGCGGGGGAATAGATCCACTGGCCCCTAAAAAG